AAGAAAAAAAAAAAAAAAAAAAAAAAAAAAAAAAAATTAACAAGAACAAATGAATGAAAACCTCACAAGATGAGATTCAACAGTTTGTCCACCTAACAGAAACAAATTCAGCATTACAGAGATATCCTATCAAGGGAGAGGAGATACTCAGCCTATAAATGATAACAGAAAATTTGGAATTTAAGTCTTGTGATTTCTTTTTCATGAATATGAAGTACAATTCAATTTTAATTCTTGAAAATGTCAGTTCTGTAGAATTAAACTTATAGAACTATCAGGTCTTGATTGAAGAAGCCAAAAATTTTAATCGTATGGAGTAGATTCAAAATTAGGTTTCAATCCAAAATGGAAAGCATCTGCGGAAAAGATTTGACCCTGAAGGAAATGGGGTCACTACTAAAAAGAAAAAAAAATGAGAACAAAAATATGGTAACTAAGCCATCCTTTTATTCCTGTGCTGGCTACAATTCATTTAGAAAAATGAATTTCTCAACACTCTTGACTTGAAATTGTTGCATAATGAGACATGTACTCAAAGTATACAATTGAGAACCTAAAATTAACTAGAAGTAGAAGTAAAATGCTCTGCAGAATTCATCTCCAGGAAGGAAGAGTCAGAAAATCTTTGGGTAAGAAAGAATATTTTTACTTTAGTTTAAAGCACAGATAGATCTTTGACAATATGAACAAATTTTCAGAAACAAGAAAAAAACAGCAGCTTGGAGAGGGACCAGACTTCAGATAATGCTAGGATATTTATCCCAAAATTAATTTGGCTTTAGAAAGTGAGGGGCAAAGGAATGCCAAGCTAAGTACTTTGATTTGAGTTGGGAAGATAGGGTTTTTTTAATCATTTACATCCACTTGAGTGACAAAAACATGGTGCTAATTTTGAGGTGAGTATCTTTATTTCCTGCAATATCTCATGAAACTACATAAAAACATGTTGCCATTAGAAGAAAAACTGAAAAGCAACGTGTGCTTTGTTAGGGTTCTCAAAAGCATCCTTCTGATCTACCTTTCATACCAAGAGTTAGGACTCTTCAAAGTCATGTATTTGTTTTTCTCTCTCCTTCAAACATTAGTGTCCTTCATCTGTCCTAACTGTGCTTCTCTCCCACCTGGGACTGGCTCTGATCAGAACTCCTTCAAATATGGGTCTCCACAAGCTGGAGCCTAAACACTGTCTCTCTAACAGGACCTCATTGGACTGTGGTGTTTAGGGTCTCTGATTCCCTACTGCTACTATTTCTAGTGTATCGGAGACTCAGTATTAGAATGTACAGATTCACTCATAGTTACTGGCAAAGAAAATGGTAGAAATGAGTGAAATTAATCAGATACAAAAAGTGAGAATGAATGAGACTGGTGTAAAGTCAAATACAAGTTTGAGACCAGTGGCCCCTAGCATTGTCTTTAGAATACTGTCACCTAGAGGGTGCTTACAAGATAGTGTCACACCAGATGTACTCCAGGAAAGCTATCACAACATCTCAGATCTGGACACCTCTGGTGTTTATTTTTAAATTTCTCCAGATGACTCTGAAGTGCAGGTCACTTTTACTACCAATGGATTTGGCTTTTGAAAAGCTACTCTAAATATCTAAATAAATAAAACTAAGTAGAATTTGTGGTTTGTTTTGAAGTATGGGCACAATTCTGTTCCATTCCAAGTCATTCTGAGGCATGTGGGCTGTGAATCATAATTTTAAAGGCATTGTTACAAATAGACATAATTCATGTAGTGTATTATTCAACATTAGATTTTTTTTACATTTTCTCCATTGTATTATATTTTAACAATGGAAACTTCTAATTAAAGATGCTATAGTTCCTTCTTACTATTTATTAATGGTAAGAGGCTAATTCTCCTGACTTCCTTAATTTAAAAGAAGCAAGTAGAAGGATCTTTGCATCCACGAGAGCTACTGTTTTTGTATTTGTCTAACTTTAGTCCAAATATTATGATTAGTATTAAATATAGTGAATTTCAGTGTAGAAATCTGAGAACATTTTGGACCTGCTTATATATTAAGCTAGAATTTTAAATTCTAATTTGGTTTATTTTACCTACTGTCTAAACTGAGAAAACAGCACTGTTTTGTTTTTGTTGTTGTTTTTGTTTTATTTTGTTTTTTGAGACAGGATCTCACTATGTAGTTAAGACTGACCTGTAACTCACTATGTAGCCCAGGCAGATCTCAAACTCACAAAGATCCTCCTGCCTCAGCCTCCCAAGTGCTGGGATTAGAGGTGTGTGCCACCATGTCCAGAAGAAGACCATAATTTAATATGTAAAGAGCACAGATAATTTTCCATGTGTATCCTATACATTTTTGTATCTATTATGAATTTTAGGAATATATGTTTGTGACTTACACTTAACTAGAAATTAAGTAAGTGATACTAAGATTTACAAAATGCAATAAAGTAGCTAATAAAGTAGTTAAGTATTACTTAATACTTAGTGTTCTGGGAAGTAGCACTACTTTTCAGGGAAGAGCTAGACACAGCTGATGAAAATGTAAAATAATATTTCAGTCAAATATAAAAATGAACTTTTATGGAAATATCTGAAATACAATAAGCAATTGGAAGATGTAGTTTATGTTACACTAATGAGAAACAGAAGGAGGTCAGGAAATAAAGCATCAGTATAAAGGGAAAACAACATTGTCTTAGATTTAGGAAGGCTTACGTAATTCACTAAGAGGTGATAGGAACGAATACAATCTCTCAGTAAGTGTATAGTTAAAGTCGTGTGTTTTGATTCTTATTGGCCACATATGAGAGTGGAAAACATCATAGAGAGTGTGTGAAAATTGTGTGAAACCTACATTGGAATACCAACTTTGCTGTTTCCTAACCCTACCACTCTGGCAAGTCCTTCGATTATTGGAATTTTTTTTTTTTTTTATCAAGTGAAGTAGATCGGTGGTTTTCAAGCTTTGCTACACTAAGCATCACTGACCAGTACAACGCTCATGTGCACATTCTGCTAGACTGTGATTGACTCGCTTGCCTGGTACAGACTACAGGAATTAGAAGGCTTCCAATGAACCCAGTTCGATTTTCTTCATCGACGTTCCATGCTGAGAGAATTTCATTAGGAGAGACTTTGATGCTCACATCTTGTAGATTTTTTGATTATACACACTAAATATGCATTATTCACTCACATCATAGGTTTTCATGCTAGCTTTTTTTTCTTTCCATAAAGCTGCTGTACAGTTTTAGTATTCAATTTCACAGTATTTTATGGCCAAAGATTCAAGTTTGGAGTGAGAGACCATGCTTATTCTGGGTTTGTTGCATTGCCTGCCTATCTTCTTTGTGAGCTAGGCAAGGGTACTTAGGAATTCCTCTTCTGGGTCCTGCAGTCCATTTTTCACTAGACTTAGGAGACCTGAGATAGAACACTGGGAGCTGAACATCATATCGGGCTATGAATTTGGGGTCTGTGTAAGTTAATTCAGAAGCAGCATTGCTTAGATGATAACAGTGGATCACATCGAGAAAGCAAAAGATGCACCGAATCCATTTCATTTTCCTGCAGCTTGCAAATGTGCCTCATATTGTTTGACAGCATTTTGAGAATTAAAGACATGGAGCATTTGAATTTGCACTTAGGGACTAAGAGGTAGTGCTCAGTGCAAATACGTTTTTGATTCCTGGAAGTAGTGAACATCTGATCATTCTGAGTGTGCTGAGAAATAAAAAGGCAACAATGGCTAATGAGCTACACTGGGAGCACCTGCTGGTATACCTACCCCTTTCTCTGCTGCTGAGTCCCTGAGCCCTGGCCTCTTTCAAAAAGCACTGTCAGGGAAGGAAACGAGAACCAGAAAATGAGCAGAGCATAAATCACAAGGCTGCAGGTTGAAGACTATGCCCGCTTTCGCATCTTACTTTGCCATTATATCCAGCATTCACTGTGATATGTGATCGTCATCAGGAGTTGTCGGCCAGCACCTAGTTTAGGCGATTTTCAAGGGAGGCCATGCCCTGCTGCACCTGTGCTCCGGGCTGTCAGTAGAGGTTGTCTTCACCAAAAGTACCATTTATTGTGCTACCGTGGTCCTCATCAAAGGAGCAGTGTGGTCCCAGATGATGAAAGAATAGTGGACCATTTCCAAAAGTCTCCAGAAAATTTTGTGTTTCTTCCCCATTAGCTAGAAAGCTCTGTTTATCTTCTAATTACACCTTAATTTAAGTCATACCAAATTCTGAAGGTAATTGCTATTTCTTTTCAGAGACTTACAGAAATTTTAAGAGTCATGGTGAGTCTGTTAAATTAGTGAATAAAGAGCATTCACTAGCATGTCAACATTTGTCGTAAGAATATTGTCCTAATAAGAAGGTCCCAAGTCAACTCTTAATATGATAAAGAATACTT